GCTGCTGCCACAGACCAGCTGGGAGGGCCCATGGCGAGACGCCCAAGAGCTAAGCACTTGCTCCCCGTCGCTGTGTAAAATTCACAAATACAGTGAAAAGCTGCCAAGTAGCCTGGTTAAAAACTCGGATATATGGAACTTGTTCTCAAGTCATGCATTACGTGAACCGACCAGAAGCCTGTCCTCCTGCAGAACACCCTTCTCTGGGGGTGTGATAACCTCTGAGGTTTACAACACACGGCCTAGAAACAAAAGTAGGTGTCTACTTGCATGTAGGTGTAAGGACAAAACAACCTGAAAATTACTCATCAAGTGCACCATGAAAAGGTTCATTCATTCATCCAATAAATTAGGTGCCAGGGATAAGGGATGTCAAGAGCAAGTCCAGGCTGGCGCCGCGGCTCACTAAGCTAATCCTCCGCCTTGCGGTGCCGGCACACCGGGTTCTAGTCCCGGTTGGGGCACCGGATTCTGTCCCGGTTGCCCCTCTTCCAGGCCAGCTCTCTGCTGTGGCCCGGGAGTGCAGTGGAGGATGGCCCAAGTGCTTGGGCCCTGCACCCCATGGAAGACCAGGAAAAGTACCTGGCTCCTGGCTCCTGCCATCGGATCAGCGCGGTGTGCCAGCCGCAGCACACGGGCCGCGGCGGCCATTGGAGGGTGAACCAACGGCAAAGGAAGACCTTTCTCTCTGTCTCTCTCTCTCACTGTCCACTCTGCCTGTCAAAAAATAAAAAAAATAAATAAAAAAAGAGCAAGTCCAAATCAAATACACGCACACACACGCACACACACATGTACACACACATGCATGCACACACACATGCATACACACATACATGCACACACAGAGTTTTTGTCCTTTCCAGGCATGTAACCTTACAGAGACCCACATGACTCAGAGAATCTGTCAGAATGGTATGAGAGGGATTCGATGCTGTGAGAAGCACATACAAGGAGACAGGACCAGGAGTACAGCTGCCTAAGGAGAAGAAGGGGCAGGGTCCCAGGCAGAGGGAGCAGGCCCCTGCGTAGCACGAGGAGGGCCCCTGTGGCTGCCAATTCCAGGGCACGGTCAGAGCACATCAGGCCAGACGCCACGGGGTCTCTTAACAGAACTTAGCCTTTTCCTCGCTAACAATGGAAACTCACAGAGTAGAGTTTAATAGGAGAAGTTGTGATCTGATTTAAATTCTCAGACAGTCTGTCCGGCAGCAGGGTCAAAGATGCAAAGTGTCCCTTTGATAAGTGCCCAGTCTCAGGTCATTCTCAATCATTCTTAAATGTCTTATTTATTTCAAAGGCAGAGAGACAGAGAAAGATCTCCCACCCGCTGGCTCACTGCCCAAGTGCTCAAAACAGCCAGCCTGGGACCAGGCCGAAGCCAGGAACCCAGAACTCCATCCAGGTCTCCCACAGGGTTTGTGGAGGTCCAAGTTCTTGAGCCACCACCTGCTGCTGCTCCCCGGGGTGCACATTAGCAGGAAGCCGGATGGAAGGCGGAGCCAGGACTTGAACCCATGCACTCTGATGTGGGACGAGGGGATCCCAAGTGTGGGTTAGGCACTGTTCCAAATGCCCACCCTGAAGAGGGAGTGTCCCAAGAGGCACAGCAAACCCGCACCTGGGTACTAAGAGCCCTAATCTCTCTGACACGCGGGGTTTGAGGAGGCCTGTAGCGTGGTGCATTCCACTCACCAACGCGTGGCCGCTCTGAGACTGCCGGTGCTCTGAATCTTGGCATCTACCTGGTGCTGTCTCACTTTGTGTCCAGTGCTTGGTTCCGAGCCCTGGCTATCCAGTACAATCACCCGGGGAGCTCTAGAGTGACACCGCAACGCCCTGGGCTCCGAGTACAACCCAGCCAGGACCACAGAAAACTCTGGAGGTGGCACCGGGGCAGGTCTTCAAAGCTCTGCCCAGGACGCTAAGGAGCAGCCCACACTGAGAGCCAGCACTGGGGCTGGTCCAGGCCCCAGGCAGTCGCAAAGTTTCGTGTCCATGGGAAAATGCAGAGTCAGGGCATCCAACACAACTGCTTCCTTCCATTTTAAGAAGGAAAACTGGGGGCCGGCGCTGTGGTGTAGCTGGTAAAGCCACCGCCTGCAGTGCTGGCATCCCATATGGGCGCCAGTTCGAGTCCCAGCTGCTCCACTTCCGATCCAGCTCCCTGCTGATGTGCCTGGGAAAGCAGTGGAGGATGGCCCAAGTCCTTGGGCCCCTGCACCCACGTGGGGGACCTGGAAGAAACTCCTGGCTCCTGGCTTCGGATCAGTGCAGTTCTGGCCATTATGGCCAACTGGGGAGTGAACCAGCAGATGGAAGACCTCTCTCTCTTTTCTCTCTCTGTCTCTTCCTCTCCTCTCTCTGTGTAACTCTTTCAAATAAATAAATAAATTTTAAAAAAAGGAAAACTGGCAGCAAAGAGCATGCGGTTAAGCAGAGTCTACAGATGCTCTAACTGCATGAATTCTGAATACACGGCTTCCAGAGGCGCAGTTAGACCTGGCCCTTCCCCCACTGCCCTCATTTCACCCGGAGAACTGAACTCTGTAGGATGAGGGTGTATCTGACCTTGGAAGAAACCACGCTCCTCGGCCCCATTTTTCAAACAAAAAGGCATTCCAAGTCCACCTAGCTCCAGCTCCTCCATGCCTGCCCCACTGTGTGCACCTTTTCCTTGAACACGGAGATTCTCCATGGGCCTGCCTCCTGTCCCAGGAGGATACCACCAAGGCCAAGGCTCACGATTTCTGTCTGCCAGGGGCTCTGGCCTGACGTGCCTGGTCCTCCCTCCAGGGTGTAGCTGAGGGCCACAGGTCTCCCTACAGCCAGGGGCCAGTGGCCTTTACAAAGCCTGACCCTTCCTGTAATCACCTCCCCTTTGTTCGAGGAGCCCAGATGACATGCAGGGTGCCCCTCGCAGCCAATGGCATTGCGAACCTGATGTGCCGGCCGCCCCTCTGATCACAGGGCAGGCCCTGAGCAGAGCCCCGCAGCTCCCAGCAGCGCCATGTCCATCTTCAGAGCTTCCCCAAGGCAAGCGTTACACAGGACTTTTTTTTTTTTTTTTTTTTTTTTTTTTTGACAGGCAGAGTGGACAGTGAGAGAGAGAGAGAGACAGAGAGAAAGTCTTTCTTTTGCCGTTGGTTCACCCTCCAATGGCCGCCGTGGCCGGCGCACTGTGGCCGGCACACCGTGCTGATCCAATGGCAGGAGCCAGGAGCCAGGAGCCAGGTGCTTTTCCTGGTCTCCCATGGGGTGCAGGGCCCAAGCACCTGGGCCATCCTCCACTGCACTCCCTGGCCACAGCAGAGAGCTGGCCTGGAAGAGGGGCAACCGGGACAGAATCCGGCGCCCCGACCGGGACTAGAACCCAGTGTGCCGGCGCTGCTAGGCGGAGGATTAGCCTAGTGAGCCGCAGCGCCGGCCTACACAGGATTTTCACATGTGGAGATGCTGGGCTCTGAGGGCTGGGCTCTGTGCAAACCAACGAGGCAGAACTGTTAGTTAATTACGGGGAATGCAGGGTCCGGGGAAACAAGGACACATCTGAGTCCAAAGAAGCCCTAATTGCATCTCCTCCCATCCCCGCCCTCAAATCACGGCAAAGCAGCACACGCGTGATGTGCTTGTGACGAACAACGGGAATGGTACTGGTACCATCTTCTGATGCACATCCTGCCTCCTCTGCATTCTGAACAAGACGCGGCAGATCCATCCTGCTCAGCTGCCGGAATCGTGCATCAGAGGCACAACGCCTTTAGAATTGTGAAGTGGGACCCCCACTTTTCACGGGCAAATCGCATCTCAGAGGCGCTGACAAGTCCTGCAGTAAACGGCCTTTTCCCAGCAAGCATTCACTCACTCACCAGCCTGCACCAGTCCCTGGGGACACAGCAGCACACACACACACACACACACACACACCCCCGCCAGCTTTAGGGGTGTCTTGTTCCAACAGGGGCAGTCAGGCCATCAACAGAGCCATTACTAATTATCTGATCAGGTCCTGTGACAAGTGCTACTGGTACTCATAAATGGAAGAGGGACCAAGGGCAGGGTCTCTGGGAGGGGATCACATTGAGAGGTAAAACAGACCAAGGCGGGGAGCAGAGCCCTGGGCAAGGACCCTGGGCTGGTCCCTAAATTCCAGCAGTGGCAGGAGGCCAGCGTCCCTGCTCACCGCACAGTGAGCAGGCGGGGCAGTGGCTCAGAGGAGCCCTGACAATGGCCCTTTGCTGGGATGAAACCGCAGGGTCCCTGTCCCCATCTCTCTCTCACATGCACACACACACCCTAGGGACCACATGTCCAGTGTTCAACTTTTAAAACACATCCACACACTGAAGGAAACATCACAAAAACACATGGGGGTGCACAAGGAACTGGACACCTGGGAAGACCACAGGGAAGGAGGAAGTGGATGGCCGGGGGCTGCAGCCACAGGGACATCTTCCCCACTGACCCTGGGATGCTTCTTGCAGGACGCAGTCTCTGAAGTTATAAAATTACAAACTTCCTAAAGCTAAATATGGCATGCAAATGGACGGCATGTCACGGAGGTTTTAAAATTCAGAGTAAGGGCTTCTCTCAAATTAAGCTCAGAAAGTTGTTCTGTGTCTCTGCTACTGTCCTTATGGTATACAGCCTCGGAACAACCAGCTAGCGAAACGCAAACCCGCCTGTCTGTCCAGTGAGAACATCACTGGCTGGGGCAGAATCTCACGAGGAGCAGTAACAACACACAGCACAGACAGACAGAGAGGCACAGGTCCACTGCAGGCCAGGCAGGGCCTCCGCAGGCACTGGCTACCTCATCGCAGCCTGACAGTGTGCTCCTACTGTGTCGAAGGCAACATCTGTAAGTACTGCATCCACACTTCTACTCAAAGAGATTTGGTTCCCTAAAGTCTCTGTAGGGTACGAGCAAGAAAGGGGGCAGTAAGATCGCTGAATGGCACGGATCGCAGATACCTGGCGAGTTCATCTCCTCTACCCACCTTCAAGGTCGGGGGTCACATTTCCTTGCTGTATCGCCCTGCAGTTTCCCGGGTCCTCTTGACGCTGTATGGGATAATTGAAAAAAGCAGCAAGCATCATTAAAGTTATCAGATCAGCCCACTTAACACAGCCTGGTTATACTTGGGCATTAGTTAGTCACTCTGGTTATCCAAGTATATTCTGCATAACGGGTCTCACGGAAGTGGGTTATCTTTGGATTTCTTAGTCAACCAATGAATTCTCTAAATGTACCAAGAGCTAGTTGCCTGAAAGACTTCCAAGTAACTAAGCACACACACACACACACAAGGACATGTTTTTGCAGCAAAATTCTAAATCTTTCTTTCAAATGTTCAGAGTCTAGACAAATGTCATCGAATGAATGAACTGGCAACCAGCCAAACTTATGAAATCAGAGATTCCCGACTTAACAGTTAGCCTGTAGAAGAAACATACAGCTCATCTAACACACAACACTGCCCAAGCTGCCTGGGACACAGGTAGTGCAGTCTAGCTGGGTCTCTTCCAAAAACCCCAACGCTAACATGAAAAGCCACCTCTCGCTATGGAAGTTGCAAGCTTACATTTTACATACCCGCATCCAGATCGTTCCAGACCTAGAAAAGAACACGGACTCCCGGTGTTTGCAAGCTGTGAGGTGTGCATCTCTGCCATTCCTGTGTCTGGCTCTCTCCCTCCTCCAACATTAGAAGATGATCTGAATACTACTGCGAGTTGCCCAGAACACTTTGCTAATTCTTTCCTTTGTTCAGGCTTTTGCAAGCGCTCCAAGCATCTTTCTCTCAGGTATTTCTTTGAAACTATTCTTCAGAGTCAACAGAAGAAATGGAAAAGATTCCAATTCTGAGCCAAGATGGGCTGTGCCCTAATTATAATTTCTCTCTTTTGTGTCTTTTTTTGTTTGCTTGCTTGCTTTGAAAAACCAGTCGCTGAAAAGAGTGAAGCAGGAGGTGTTTGGTGACCAGCGAGCCCAGGGCTGCACTGAGCTGTCCAATTGCTTAGTCTGGCATTTAAAAGTAACCAATGTAATAACCCAGCTCCTGATGGCTGGCTCAAAGCCCCAGCCGCGGGCTGCTCCAGACAGCCAGCCTTTTCTACGAGGCTTGCCAGAACCTGGCTGCCCGGCTCTCTACGCTGCCCAGCCCTTTCCTGCGTGGAGCGGTCTTGGACAACAAAGACGACCGCTTCTGGAAAACCTGGCTCATCTTCCCAGCCAGGCAGCGAGCAACGTCTGCCTCAACCACCGACTTCGGGACGGGTCCCTGGACCGTGCCCGCCGGGGGGCGGCGAGCGCGCTCTGCAGCCCCCACCCTGCTCTGGCTGGGCGCGGGCCGCGCTCCATCGCGCACCCGGGGAAGGTGGCACAGGCTCCTCTGGCCCAGCCCCCTCTCCCTGCGCGTTCCCTGGATCCAAAGGGAACATTTGCCTTCCCCTTTCCGCTGCCAATGACAGATGGAAATTCCCGGCCCCGGAGGCCAGAAGTAAATGACAGAGTGCCCAAGAATCAGGAATCACGCCGCCTTATTGCATAATTAAGGGCAGAGGCTCCAGCTGCGAATCCCACCGGGATGCTGCTCGCCGGGAAAAACCGGTTCGCTCGTTTTTTCCATCCACCCCGCGGAGAGGCTAGCGGTCCCCGGAGCAAAGAAACCACCCCCACCCACCCCAACCCTCCGTCCCCTGAGGGTCCCGGAGCTCACCCTTTGCACAGCCGGCGCTCGGCCCGGTTCTCCGACTCCGCACACGGCCCTGCGGGCGCAGCTCGCCTGGGCCTCGCTCGGCCTGCGGGGGAAGCGCGCGGGTCCCCGCGTCGCCGCAGCGCGGGAGGGCCGCCCGGCCCCGCCGAGGCCTCCGCGCCGCCACCGGCGGCCTCCGCGCCGCGGCCCGCCCGGCCCGGGATGTGGCGGCGCCGCCGGAAGGCGGAAGCGGGGCGCGCGAAGCCGGCTCTGGGGGGCGAGGCCGCCGCGCTCCTGCCCGGCCGCGCGCGCCGCTGGCCCGCGCGCGTCCTCGCGCCCTGCGCGCCTGTGCGCGCGCCTCGCGGGGCCGCGGGGAAGCGGCGGGGGGCCGTGGTCGGGGATGTGGGGGGCGGGGGTTCCCCCGGGCCCCCGGGGCCGCCCTGCCTTGGAAACTGGCTGGGTCCCGGGAGATGGCGGAGACGCGCGGCCAGACTGCAGCCCGCGCGGGCTTCATTCAGAACAGATCCCAGACTTGGAAAAGGGCCAAAGGGCTGGAGTTTGGGTACCAGCCGGCGTCTCCAAGATCTGTTCGCGAGCACCGCTCAGCGGCTCGTCTTGGGGTGTAGTTCTGTCGCTGGGGTGTCCTAGGGTAACAAAAGACAGCTAGCTGTGCAGTCCCAAGTCCTCACCCTGCAGAAATGGGTGTGGCCGTAGGATTTTTGGAACCTGTGAGGGAAGTGAGTCCTGAAAATGTTGCGGTTTTCTGGCCCTGAAGAAGGTAAACTTGTTCTGTTTTGGTCTAACATAACCGACGTGTTTACCTCAAGGTATCTAGCAGCCCGATAAAAGAGATGTATATATATACACACAGACAATTTTCTTCAAGCTTTCAAGGAACCAGTTTTTTCCCTTCTCTGTTGGTTTCCTCATTAAAGAGTTTAAATAGACTATTTATGAGGTCCACTGAGAAATCTCACTTTTTAAAAAAAAGATTTATTTATTTGAAAGAGTTACAGAAAGAGGTAGAGCCGGGGGAGAGGGGGGTGTCTTCCATCCTCTGGTTCCCTCCCCAAATGACTGCAAGGGCCAGAGCTGAGCTGATCTGAAACCAGGAGCCAGGAGCTTCTTCCAGGTCTCCCACGTGGGTGCAGGGGCCCAAGGCCTTGGGCCATCTTCCACTGCTTTCCCAGGCCACAGCAGAGAGCTGGATGGGAAGTGGAGCAGCCGGGGATTGAACCCTTGCCCATATGGGATGCTGGCACCGCAGGCTGGGGCTTTAACCCGCTGTGGCTTTTGTCACTGTTACTGCCCATGGTGGTCCCTCCTTGAGAAGATACTCATTGAGCCCTTTGCTCGCCGCCCACGGTTGAGGTAAGATGTTTGCTTCCTGTTGAAGGACTAGGATGGACGCACATATGTGGGGGAAAGGATGGAGCTTAGATGTGGCGTGGGCTATCATGCAGGGTTTAAGGATCCAAGCTCTGGGAGTCACATGGATTCAGGGCCTCCTTTGCCCTGTATGGCTGTGGCCTTGTCAAGTTCTCTCTTCGCTCTACAGCCCCGTGTCCTTGTCTTTTAAAGTGGAAGGCACTCCTGAGGAAGTTATGCATTTAAAGTACGTAGCACCGCTCTCCCCCAGCCGTAAACGCTGCAGTAGCCGGGCACTGTCGCCATCATTACTACTGCTTTCTGCGTTCCCAAGATGCTGTGCAAAATATTAACTACCGTAGTTCTCCCAGAGGCTTAGGTATTGGCGACCCCAGTAACTGAGTGTTTTTCTTGGAGTTTTTCCAGATGATTCTAGCGCCTCCTTTTCTTCCTATAGTTAACTTCCAGGAAAGTATTAGTGTCTGATCTTTGTAGCAGGAAGGTGGCTTCTCAAGTTGTGGTTCTCAGATGTGACCTGGAGACCCCCTGGTGTGGTCTCTCAGACCCTTTTCACGGATCTGCAATTATAAAACCTTTCTTTTCCTCATAAGGCCAAGGTGGTGTTTGTCTTCTTTGCTGGGTAGGCAGACATCTGCTGTGCTGGCACAGAAGCAAGGGCCATGACATGAGCCCTGAGGCGGGGTCTGGCCACAGCCCTTGCAAGTAGGGCCCTGGGCTCCTCCCAGGGGACTCTTCCCACACCTGATCAGGGCGCCTCTCCCTCACCCAGTGTCTGAGTCTGTTTTCTGTTCCTATAACAGAATGCCTGAGGCTAGGTAATGCAGACAACCTCGCCGTCTGGGAGGAGGCAAGTCTAGGGCAGCAGGTTCCCATTTTCAGAGACGAGTGTCAGCCCTCCTTCCTCACTCCGGGTACCCAGAACCGCACAGCGTTCTCCAAAGGACAGGTGGTAAGCTGGCACCTTTCCCTGCAGAGGGCTCTTCCACGTGGGCATTTCAGTGGAAGTCGATTTCTCAAAAAACAAACCTCAGCACTCGTTTCCGTCTCAGTTGGTAAGTGCCAAGTCACCAAACTGCTTACATAAAGAAGGTTCTGGGGAGCCAGCGCTGTGTCACAGGGGGCTGAGTGCTGCCCGCAGCACTGGTATCCCATATCCAAGCGCTGGCTCGAGTCCTGGCTTCACTGCTTCTTATCCAGCTCTCCGCTAATGCACCTGTGAAAGCGCTGAAAGACGGCCCAGATACTGGGAGCCCTGCCACCCACGTGGGATAACATTCCTGCTTCTGGCTTTGGCTTGGCCCAACTGTGGCTATTGCAGCCATTTGGGGAGCGAACCAGTGGATGTGGGCTCTCTCTCCCTCTGTCTCTGCCTCTCTATTTCTCCCTCTCTATCACTCTGCCTCTCAGATAAAAAAAAAAAAGAAGAAGGTTCTGAACAGCTTCTAATGCCGTGAGAAAAAAGGGCTGGCTGACAAACCTGGTGCACTGAACTTCTGGCCACTTCGAACGCAAACCCAGCGGTGGAGCGAACAAATCAGTATTCCTTGCATCTTTTGCCACCATGCGCTTACAGGGAACAGAAGCAAATAGAAGTGCCCTAAAGAACGACCTCCTTGAAGCGGCTGTGGCCCCTTGTGATGGGGTGGGAGAGGTGCCTAAGAACACCTGTTGCTTACAATGCTCTTTTTTTTTTTTTTTTTTTTTTTTTGACAGGCAGAGTGGACAGTGAGAGAGAGACAGAGAGACAGAGAGAAAGGTCTTCCTTTGCCGTTGGTTCACCCTCCAATGGCCGCCGTCGCCGGCACACCGCGCTGATCCGATGGCAGGAGCCAGGTACTTTTCCTGGTCTCCCATGGGGTGCAGGGCCCAAGCACTTGGGCCATTCTCCACTGCACTCCCGGGCCACAGCAGAGAGCTGGCCTGGAAGAGGGGCAACTGGGACAGAATCCGGCGCCCCGACCGGGACTAGAACCCGGTGTGCCGGCGCCACAAGGCGGGGGATTAGCCTACTGAGCCGCGGTGCCGGCCTTACAATGCTCTTTTCAGCTGGTGGCCATGTGGAAACAATACAAAACAGCCAGCTGCTCTTGTTCATGGAACACCATTTTTACCCAAAAGAGGAACTGGCCCAAAAGATTTGGGTCTTTTGTAAGTCCCATTTTAATAAGTCTACTCAGATGTGGGTGCTTGGCAGGCATTTTCTCCAAAGCACATGAAGGAAGCCTGTTGACTTCAAAGCAAACCACTGATGGCACTTGTTGCAGGTGACAGAATCAGGCTTTCCGGTACAAAACACATATCCATCACTGAGTTTGCCAGCATCTCAATATTTGAAATCTTTCCACTGAGATCAGTGGTAATACTGAAAACCATTCTTTATTGCATTGTGTAATAATAGACCAATCGTGGCACAATAAAAATATATACATTTGGCCTTTTGCCCCAGATGTTGACACAGAGCTCTTAAACCCTTTGGAATGTCCTGGGTCATAGGAGCCCCTTTTGTTTTAATGAGGTTACGGCTTGGGCTCCAAGATAGCTTCAGGTGCAGACAGGTTGCCAGAAAGACCAAGCATTGGTTGGAAGCCTCCCCAAGCATCAAGAGACGGGAGAGAGGCTAGAGACTGGATTCATAGCAGATCATGCCTACAAGATGAACCTTGCATAAAAACCCTAAACAGGCCAGTGCCGCGTCTCAATAGGCTAATCCTCCGCCTGCGGCGCCGCACCCCCCCCCCCCCCCGCCCTGGGTTCTAGTCCCGGTTGGGGCGCTGGATTCTGTCCTGGTTGCTCCTCTTCCAGGCCAGCTCTCTGCTGTGGCCCGGGAGTGCAGTGGAGGATGCACCCCATGGGAGACCAGGAGAAACACCTGGCTCCTGGCTTCGGATCAGTGCGGTGTGCCATCCGCAGCGCGCCGGCTGCGGCAGCCATTGGAAGGTGGACCAACGGCAAAAGGAAGACCTTTCTCTCTCTCTCTCTCTCTCACTGTCCACTCTGCCTGTCAAAAAAAAATAATAATAATTTAAAAAAACCTAAACAATGGGGTTCAGAGTGCGTCTAGGTGCAACACATCCAGGTGCTGGGACAGTGACGTTCCTGCAGGGGGCGTGCCAGCTTTCTGCACCTCCCCTAAGTGCGTCTCTTCCATCTGTCTGTTCCTGAGTTGTTCACTCTATCACAAGCCAGATATCATAAGTAAACCATTTTCCCAAGTTTTGTGAGCTGTCCTTGCAAATTATCTAAATGTGAGCTTGGGATTCATGGGGGC